GTTTTAGGCACACAACTTTTAACATGCTAAAAAGTTCTCAGCACAGACTTTTTATGAACAAAATGTCCGAGTTACATAGAGCTGTTTTTTTTTTTTAAATTGTCCAATTACACACCAGGATGAACTAGTAGATGGGCAAGCGGTCACCTGTATATTCTGCTATTGGCAGCAAGGAATCAACAATCTACATAGGCCTACTGAAAGAAATCTTGCTTCCTCTGAAAAACTCAGCATTGCTGATTTCCTGTTGACAATAGCAAGAAGAAACCAACAATCTTGCACATAATTGCTGAGGAAGTAGAATTAGGCTTCCACAATCCTTCTAGTAATCTTGCATTAAACCAGTTTTCCAGAGGAGGAAATGAATAATCTGCACACAGATTACCAGGATTGTTGCCTCATTTTCCCCCCATTGAATTTAGACAAGATTGTTTAGAAATATGATAAGTGCAAATAGATAAATGTAACTCCAGCAATTAGCGCTGTTCTATTGGAATTATTTTCAATAGAAGGGAATATATATAGCTCAGGGTTGAACTGTGGAGTTCTTGGTACTCTCTAAGCTTGCTTGTTAAAATGTCTGCCAGCAAACACGAAGCTCAGAGAGCACCAAGTTCTCCATGTTATAAAGTTTGAAGGAGTCATTTAGAGCAGGGGTCCCCAAACCCTGGTCCGTGGACTGGTACTGGGCCGCAGCATGCCAGCAACTGGTCCGCACAAACAAGCAAAGCCCCATCCACGAGATTCAGGCAGTACACGAAACCATGCCCCCTCCGGTCCGCAGAAAAAGCTCTCTCCACATAACTGGTCACTGGTGCCCAGAAGATTGGGGACCTCTGATTTAGATTATGGGTTCTAGTCCCGCCTTTGATATGCCAGTTGGGTGACTTTGGGCCAGTCACTCTCTGTCAGCCCAACTCACCTCACAGAGTGTCATGGGGAAAATAGGAGGAAGGTATGTTGGATGTTTGCAGTCTTATTTGTACAAATAATAAAGGCAAGATATAAGAAATAAAGGCCACTTTAATCATTTGCTCAGTACAAAAATTAAAGCATTCCAGGCAGATGGTTTTCGAGCCTCCACCTAAAAACATCCAAGAGAACTTGTCATCTCTTTGGATAATTGGTTCCATTCTTAACCTACGCTGTCAAATTCTGCTTCCATTATTTTGTGTTCTACATTCTTAAATGTGTGTCCTGACCTTCTAAGTTATATCATACCACCTATTCTTTCTCAAGTTTAATATATCCCGCTCTTTTAATATGCCTTTAATTTCTTGTCCCCTAATCATCTTTGTGCCCCTCTCTAAACCAGCTTCATTTTCTCTTAAATCAGGGATGTCAAACTCAATTTCATTGAGGGCTGCATCAGCATTGCAGTTGCCCTGGGGGTGTGTGGCCAGGGTGGGTCAGCTACTGAGTGGGCGTGGATGGAGTGGGTGTGGCCTACTGGGTGGGCATGGCCAGCTCTACATCGTTTGCATCAATGGCCTGTGGGGGCCTGGGCAGGAGTGGAACAGATCTGAGGGTCTCTGGCAGAAGGGGGTGGAACCAGGACCACTTCCAGGCGATGATGCATTTCTTCATTCCTCACAAAGGGCGACACCTCCCCAGCATGCACCCAGGGGGCAGGGTCGACACGGCAGGGACTGGTTCCTTGCTGTTTCCAGACGGCCTTGTGGAGCTAATACTGAATGCATTTCAGCATAGATGGCCACCACAAAATTGTACATTGGCTCCCTCCCAGCCTGGGCCAGGGCCAAGGCAGCGGGGGCCGTTCCGTTTCCAGGATGGCTTCGCGGGCCACATGGAACCACTTGTGTTTGACATGTCTGTCTTAAAGCATGGATCCCAGAACTGGACTTGGCTTTCAAGATGTTGTGTGAGCAGTCATAATAGAATGGAATAATTATTTGCCTTCATTTAGAAAACCTACTTATAATCATAACATGTAAGAGTTTTAAGAACCACTGAAGATCAACCCACTCCCAGTCCAGGTATCTATTGCTTCAACAATCCTGACAAGAAGCCATTTCTTTTCTGTTTATGTGCCTCATCTTTTAAAGCAGATTGTTCCATTGTTGAAGAAATCTTCTTGTTATATTTTTTGAAATCCAACCAAAATCCTACTTCCTTGTAAAATCAAGCTCATTGTTGTCTTGTGGAATAATTTTGAACAAATTTGCACCCTGTTCTACTGGTAGTCATTTGCATATTTGAAGAATACTGTCATGCCTCACAATTGTTTTCCCAGGATGAATTTTTTTCCATCGATTCTCATAGGATTCTAGCTTGGAGGCCTGTTATCATCTTGATTGATCTTTTCTGGATATGTCCTAGTTTCTCAATTATCTGAAATGAGGGCCCAGAATTGGAGGCAATGCTCTATGTAGCATCTAACATGATTCTTAATTTTGACACTGTATTTTTTGATGCAGCCTAAAATAGTAACTCTGGGAGGGGCAACCACATAGCACAATGATCGGAATAGTATATTTGTAGATTAACAATATACAAATAGAACAAATTGTAAGTCTTGAGATTATTATTCAACATTTTAACATGTTAGCATTATAAAAATACTACTGTAGAAGCCAAAACAAACTGAGATTACTTCGATTATTATTTTAAGAAATATGAAAAGACGGAAACTAGAAATGTGTTCATTTCAGAAATTATAATCTAGTTATCATGATCTAACTGAATACAAATGAATATCTTTCCTTACTATACCTGAATTAGGAACCTTTAATTCTAAACTCACAAGAATATATTTACAAAAAAAGTGCACCTATCTAGTGGTACAAAGAGGTAATAATGAAATAATATGCATTATTTATTTATTGCTATATATTGAACTCACCTATTCATTCTATATGGATTCTAGGTTTCTGTTCCAAAACTATGTCTGATAGCATAAATGTTTATAACACCTTTCACTTTAAAAACAACACAAATATTCCAGTATTCGGGCATGGTATGTACTTCTTGAAGAATTATATAGCTTGAAACATAATTCTCCATTGGATTTTATTATCTAAACATTACAAGGCAGTACTGGGCAGTTTATATATTTACTTTCAATTAACTATCTTAGCCTGATTTAATAACAAATTATTTCAGCTATGTATGTTCATTATTGTCTAAAATCACTAAAATACCTATTGGCATTATTCAAAGACCCACTTGTAATATTTGTAATGTGAATTATGTAATTAGAGACCAGGCAGGACAAAACATACTTTATTGTACTGCAACATCAAACACATGAAGAGTACATCAAAGACCATGCCAATGACAGATCATCAGAGTAGTAAAATAAAGGGGATATACTGAAATCAATATTAAAGTCTATTCACTACACTATTTTAAGTAACTTTATTCAATTTAGCTGCAGCATACACATCTACATCTTGTCCTTCTAAATTGCGTAATATAAATTTTTAAAAGATGAAACTAAGAGGGATGGCAAAGTGCCACCTCTGGAGTGCAAAAAATATAACCACAATCCCATCCCTCTTCAGCCTGCTACTTATGTATGAGAGACAAATTCAAAGAACATAATTCCTAAAGACACTTGTAATGGTATCACTTCCTATCCCAGCCACTACCAGTGTGATTAGGATGATTAAAGTTATTATCAATATCTCGCCAACTACAGGAATAGTCTTTTGTATTCTTTGCTCAAAGATAGAACTTAATAAGTGCTTAGGAATCTATTGCAATAAAGCACATGTCATGTATGTCCTTATTTATGAAATATTTAGTACTGACAAGAAGAGTACAAAATTGTGATTAGTCCTATAAGATTCAGCTCTTGGATCTCCAAAAACATGCCATTGAGGGCAGGCCATGCCAGCAGCAACATTTGGGCACCCGTGACTAAGGAGAGTATATAGAAATATTTCCTCTGATGAAGAATCGGTATTGCAACACAAATAACTTGCTAAAGGAAGCACCAGATCATTCACTTACAAGGTACAGCCAAATGAGCTTCCTGTGCTGGTGAAAGCAGTAAAGGCCCAGCATCACAAAGATAAGATGCATCTAAGATCTAAGCTTTGACATCAGAAGCAGCATTTGAAGACAAGTTGTAAGCTATTTAAACAGGCATGGATTAAATGCCTGAATGTATACATGCCCTTTTTCTTCATAGCCAGGTTTTAATGCAGAACTAAAGGTTAAGAGAAAAAAAAAGGGAAGAAATTCCAAGATTAAGAGTACATTTCTATTTAAGATCAACTAAGAAAGAAAAGGAATAAGGTAACTTACTCAATCCCCATAATTATCAACATACCGTTGAACAAATACAATAGTGATTTCTCAATATTTTAAGCGAAGTTTGAAAAAATAGAGACATAGTTTTGTCCTATTTGCTTAAACAAGTAGTAGAACATTAGCCACATGGTAAAAGTGCTGCTTAAGTAAATGAGGAATGAGAATAACTTTGGGTTACACAAAGAAAGACAAGCATAGATTCCATTCTACCAATGAACCCCAACAAGAATATGAATCAGCGGCCAGCACAAACCGGACAAAACACTGAACCTTCAGCATTCTTCACAAAGTCAAACCTCTTCGTCAGCCAGTCAGTTAGGTGGAAATTCTGGCTAAAATGAAATAAAAACTGAGGACAAAATGGAAATAAATTAAAAGGCATAGCTAGACTAAAATTTCCTTATGATGTAACAGGTTTTACAAACTAAAATACAACTGATTTCTCTAATAAAAGAAATTTCCAAATTCCTTTTAGATGATTTGTAACTTCAAATGCTTACATAACTGAGACTGAAAAAGTATTACAGCATCCAGATAATATTCTCTATGAATAAAGAGAAAAGATTAAAAAAAGAAAGAAAAATAATAAAGAAACATTCCATATGGAATTCTCTTTCTCTCTCTGTAGTTCCCTTTCCCTCTCTGTAGTTCATGAATCCAACGCAGATGCTAAGGTGACAGCATATGTAAGTAAGGATTGGGGTTTTTTTTGTTGATTTTTCTTTTTTTAAGTTTCAACAAAGAAAGCCTGAAGATGAAGAGATTTCCATTCAAGAGTTATCAGATGGAACATGCTCCTCAAAACCCTCGCTTTCTCGGACTAAAGCTCTTTCCAGAATAACGCGGCCTTCCTTGTAGCGCTGGCTGTCTTCGGTGGCAAATTCATATATCCAGCCAAGTTTGCTGTTGCAGTTCTTGCAGCTCACATCACGAACCATATGACGGCCAGTGAGCATGACTCGGTCTTGAACTTCACTGTACTGCAAATTTACTACCTAAAGGAAGTTAAAAGAACAGAAGCATTTAATGGATTGATTTATTTGCCATATTTAAGAGCTCAAGGCAACACTCTTTTCTCGCATTTTTTTCCCCATAACAACTCTGTGTGGTAGGTTAGACTGAGAAAAATTTACTGGCCGAAAGTTAGTGAGCTTCTAAAGCCAAAGAAGCTAAAATCTGGATCTTCCTACTAGACAAACACCTTTCCCATTGCACTATATTTTAGACATATTACATTTCATTGACAACTTGCAATCATTAGAGAACTATGGAAAAGTCGATTTTCAACTTTTCATTTAATGTCACTCCTTGATTACTCTGTATAAGCAGTACAATAGCCTTATTTGGAATTTTGGTCGGTTGATAAACACCACTATGGTAACAACTCCTCCAGTATGTTTCTTTCCCTAATTATATTCTCTATTTTGGAGACAAAATATCCTTCAAAATTAAGCAAGCCATGCATTTTAAGGTAGTTGTCCATAGCAAGGGTTAGCAATGTCCAGCATATCTTACACATATTATAATCTGTTTTACACAGACAAATGTAAGGACATTAATGAACTTGGCCTATAAGTTATAGTTTGTTAGAACACAAATTGGTTACCACTTTATCTCCAATGTTTTACCCAGTTTGCTATTCACATTTTTAACATTCTCAGTAATTGAAAGCTGATTTTTTTTCTAGCAGTTAATGCCACTCTTAGCCTTTAACAAGAATCTACAGCCCAACAAAGGCAGCCAATCCAATAACTTTAACTGCCATAATACCTTAGTATCAAGTTTAGATTGATCATTACTTCTCAGCATATGAATAAATGGTCAAATTAGATACCTATGTACTTTATGTGTGTACTTTATGTATTACATATGCACGCATGCGCAATCTGTCGCACACAGTTATAGACACAAATCCAGATAGAAGCAATACTATGTAGCAGAGAATTTTACATCTCAAAAAAGCCCTAAGTCACTGTTACTATCACATTGTTAGAACTCTTAGATAGACATTTCTGCTTCACCTAACCATATATTGAAATCACACTTCTAGAAAGTTTTAGATGTCTTTAACTAACCTTGTTAAATAAAAAGGCTCGTCCTGTAGCCCCTGTAAAACGGGTAGATATAAGCTCTGAGCGGTTGGTCAAAATTGTGTCACAATTTGCACAGGAGAATAGGCGAGTACCACCGATATGATCCAAGAAGATGCGGCCCATTTTAAAAATTATTAGAGACCTAAAAACCAGGAGAAACAAATTGCATTAATGTTGAAAAGTCAATTAAGGCAAAATACTTGTGAGAATTATATTTGAAAAATATTGACAGTGGATAAATATCAGTAATAACTGTTTCATAAATATTAATTGTGGCTACTTAAATGAACAGATATCTCCACCTTCTTATCCCACTCTCTTGTTACCATATCTATAAAAAATATCTATTACGAGTTGCCCTCATATTGAAAAAAAGAGAGGCAAAAATCAGATGATTTGCAAATAGCTGACATAATCCATCTCCATGCTGCTTTGCAAACACCAAAAAGAAAGCAAGAAAAATCACTTCATTACTTTTATTATTTATTTTAGAAAATAATCAAGAGCACTGAATGCAGCCAGATTCTTTCCACCCCCTACCTCTTGAATAGCCAGCTGCCCATCTGTATCACAAGAATGTGTAAGTCTATAATTCCATGTAGGTGAAACAGGTTTGTTGTTTCTATAACAAAATGAAAGGTGATGTTCCTCTCCTATAAACCCCCTCTGACATTCTCTCCATGCCATTAGCTTCAATGTTATTTGGGATCTTCCAAGTTAGATCACAATCCTTATTCTGAACCCAGCTTGAGTCATCATAGTAATTTCATTCTGTGGTTTTCATTTTGACTCTAGCAGTCCCTTAATCATATCACTTCTGTATTATTACAAAACCTCCAACAATTCTTTATGAAGCAATGTGCCTGTGACCTGTCCCTGCCCTGCCTGCCCTTGCTCTCTTCAACTGATTCTACCGCCCAATCACTGCTTGAGAGACCCCATTATGTAGTTTTCCCAAAAGCTGTGATTGAATAATTGAGGCAAACAATGCTGTTTTGATCCCAAAGGGTAATCTGATCTAATATGTTTCTGTATATTGCAGAATCCAACATTTCTGCTCTATTCCCTTCCTGCCAAGATATTTATGTAAGCAAGTTTTGAATGGAGAGGAGTGTCCCTAGAAATTCAGTTTAGTAATGTTGCTGTATCTTTGCCCTAGTCAGGACCACAGCTTCACCAACTTGATAAAACCAGCCACATGCAACTGTCAGATTACACATCTCACTGTCTACAAAGCATATAAGAGGCTTATTTAGGCAGATGTGCTTACACAAATAAATGTTAAAAAACTTTAGATTGCAAACATCATTCTTGAAAGAATAAATCAAGCTGGAAATCTGAAAACAATCACTGAAAGCCATCATATGGAAGCACAAAACAAAAAAGACATTTTTACACCATATACTATTGTAGTCTAGCTATATAACTGTATTTCAGCTGAGAATGTAAAACTCAATTTATAGAAAATATTCTCTATTACACTATTCCAAAATGTTTTATGTTTCTGCTTGTGGGCTACATTCCATTGTCTTATGAATACTGCCCTCTAGATTCAAAGCTGACTACGGTATATTTCACATCCTTTACACAGAGACCAGATGGCAAAGTTGACTCCCTTGCTCAGAAAATAAGAATATTCACCTAACAAACCACTGGGGAAGGAACAATGGTTTTGAGATATCAAAATCTTAAAAGACATAAAGATGATACTATGTTGTTGTCATTGTTCTTTTTTACCCATTTTCAACAAAACAAGGAAAATGGAAAAACCTAGCATACTCTTTCTTATAGAATAATGTATAAAATTCTTACTGGGCTGATGTTTTAAAGAAAAATCACTTGCCCATTAGCACTTTTCAATTTATGTTTCAGCCACATGGTTATTTTATTTTAAACTGAGGTTCAATGTATAACTGACCCCTTCCAACTCTGGTTCTATTATCTTACAAACTAAACATAAAATGTCTCGTATTTTAAAATTACAGTGGTTATAGATTTAAAAAAAATATTAAATATATATTTTATTTTTGTCTGGTTTTATTAATTCAAAAAAATTAAAGCTTATGAAAGGGGCCAATTTATTGTTCCATGATCTGTATGCAGTCATCTGCAGACAATTGGGGAAATTCACTGCATTCATATGAACAGTTTAAAACTACTCATGCCCCAAAACATGAGCACAACCATTACTATAACTGGATTTTACCTACTTTATTAATTTCACCCATTCCAGGAGTCTATACAGACAATTTAAAATAATGATTTAACATCCTATTTCAGGCGTAAAGACCTGATCCTATAGGAAAGTCCAAAGCTAATTCAGATGCTTAAGGCACATTTAATTCACTGACCACCTTCAGAATATTTCATGATATATCCCTCCCCTCACCATCATTCTTTGTCTGGATTTATTAGATTTATTTATTACCATTAGGTTTTCCTATTTACATATATTTATCAACAAAGAAAGATACACCTTAAGAGTTATTTTGAAGAAACACTCTTTTAAAAGCATATTTTAATAAACTTAGAGAGTGCACTGAAGAGATCTATATGTGTGTTTGATTCGTGAAACATTTTAATTATAAAATAAATATATCTCCATTACAGTTAGCACAGATGATTAGATGCAGTTCCATCAATATAGCAATTAACATTCCAGACTAGAAACCAGAAGATAGTTAAGTTCTAATCCTCCTTAAGGCATGAAAGCCAAATTGGTGAGTTTGAGCCAGTTACTCTTTCAGAGGGCAGTTGTTTGGGGACTGGTATACATTTTGTTATTCCTTAAACAAATGTGAAATAAGTTCTGTTGCATCTGAAGAAATCATTTTAATGCATTTTTAATATATGAAGATGCTACATCAAAAACCTGCTTTACTAGATAAAATAGTTCAGGTTCGGTTTTTACAAAAGTGGAAGACTGAATGAATCAAGCATGGTTAAAATCTTGTCTTTTCCACACAGCTAATGCAAATTCGTTGGAATACCACTCTTGGTTAGAGATCAGGCATTTGGAACTAAGGAATAAATCAGAGAAATAAAAAGAGAAGAATTGTTTCCCCCCCCCCCCCCATAGCATTTCAATCACGTGAGCAGCTGTGCTACAAATCTTTCCACCAATCATTACAGAGCATTGCAAGAGTCACTTCTGCCACTTCCGCCCGAAGAGCCAGAAACCCAAGACCCAGCCCAACAGTCCATGAAAGGATCACGTGCCTCGCAATCTCCAATCAGCAAAGATTCTGCCTACTTCCTTCACACGTGAGAATGAAGTGAACCCAGATGATTTGACAACAAAAAAGAAACAGCTGACAAGAGACTAGCAGGCCTCCTGTTGTTATAGCCAGAGAAGGAAAAGCAGCTTGTTTGGACATTATATTTAGAAACGTTTACATTCAGGAACCTCTTAATACATTTATGGCTATCAAAGACAGCAAGAGATAAATTGATATCCAGTCAATGAAGTGGCTGTATTGAAGGGGAAGAGGGGGGAAGAGGGGAACAAGAAAAGACTCAAAAATAACCTTTTTAACTAGGACAGGGGTAGGCAACCTTGGCTCTTTTATGACTCGTGGACTTCAACTCCCAGAATTCCTGAGCCAGCCATGGCTGGCTCAGGAATTCTGGGAGTTGAAGTCCACGAGTCATAAAAGAGCCAAGGTTGCCTACCCCTGAACTAGGAGCATATCTCAGTAACTGACCATGATTTGCAGCAAGCCTAAGAACTAGTATCACTTTTTTTGGAACCGGCACATCATTAGATGGGGGAAAAACTAAGCAGTACCAACGCAGAGCTGAAATTGTCGCTCCGAAGACGCGTAGGCGCGCAAACATATAAATAAAACCGGTTTCCTTACAGGAACCCCCTTCAACAGTTGTCCTAGCAGGAGGAGGAGGAGGAAACCAACGGAGTGGAAAAACCAGACGGCTCGAATGAAAGGGAGAGACAAGGCACCACAACCCCACGCTCTTCGCCCCACCGTCGCCTTCGTCGTGGGACAACCGCGGTTGCACTTTAGCCCATTTGCCGCAGGAAAGCAAAGCCCTTACGGCTTCCTCTGCGGCGCCGGACAAAAAGGCAGCGGGGAAATGGCAGCAGCCGAAGTGCGGCGGGTCCAGGCTGGGCAGCTGAGCCGGGGGTGGGGGGGAAGCCCTTTCGCTGTTGCGGCCAGAGAGGAGGAGGAAGAGGAGGAGGAGGATGCCAGGGCGGCAGGCTGCTGGGGGAGGCGGAGGCGGGCCGACACAAGAGGGAGGAAGGGCGGGCGGGCAGGCGGGCGGCTTCGTGCCATATTGGGTGTTATTGTGCCATAGTGAGTGTTATTGTGATAATGCGAGGGCGGGACCAGCTCGGGGTGTTTGGCTGCTGGGAAGGGCAGCGCGAGTGAGGAAGTGAAGGCAGGAGGGACGAACGGGAAGGAGGTTTTTGCACGGGGGCGGAGGAGGGGGGAAGAGTCGGAAAAAGAAAAGAAGACACAGGAAGGCCGGGAGCCCCCGTCGCCGAGCGAGTCCGGGGAGAACAGGAAGGGGAAGGGGATGCCGGCTGAGACCGAGACGAGAGTCTCTCTCCAAGGCTCTTTCGGCCACTGGCCTCCCCGCCCCCTCCGCCACCCTCTCTTCCTCCAGCGCGTCTCCGGAGCCCGCGGACCAGCAGCAGCAGCCGCAGCAGCCATTACCTAAGAGCTGACGCTCGACTCCGCGGCAGCCTGCCCTGAAAGGAAAAGGGCAGCCGAAGAGCCGCCTCAATGCCGGGTCCCTGCTCGCTCCCGAGGCAGCTCCAAGCGTCGCCCTCTCAACTCAGCCAGTTCCCCCCTCGCTGGCTCCGCCCCCGCTTGGCTCCGCCCTCCGGGAAGAGCCCCTCCTCCAACTGTGCCAGCCGTGGCCATATACTAGTTGAGGTCCGTCTCCTCTGAACGCGAGCCACGCCCTCCGCTGACGCGGCTCGAGCCTCGCACAAACATTGAGGCCACGTGGGGCGGCGGGGGGGGGGGCGGGGTTCGTTAAAGGGCCAGAGACCGAACCGAGAGTTGTGGGAACGCGGTCCTTTGTGCGTGGTCGGGTCTCTTTCCCCCACCCCCCACCCCCAGTCCTCTTTGTTGTGGTGGTTCGTCGTCTGGGAAATAACTTGTTTTATTCGTTTCGGTATATAGAGAAATATTCCTGACTTCTGCAGCGCAAGGAAAGGAGGGGAGAAAGATCCATTCTGCCCAGTTTTATTGTGGGAGAGGAAAACGAAGAGATAAGTTCTCAATTAAGAAGGCCTCAGCTTAATAATGTAGTGCAGCAGCTCCATTTTCTGCTTACGAAAACAATCATGTACGTTATACGCTTAATTGCGATAGACTGGAGAGTTGCTGCCCTGGAAAATAGATATCAGATCATCGTCTCACAGGCTTTGTATGGCTGTAGATCAGTGTTTCTCAACCTTGACCATTTTAAGGCATGTGGACTTCAACTCCCAGAATTCCACAGCCAGCAATGCTGGCTGTGGAATTCTGGGAGTTGAAGTCCACATGCCTTAAAATGGTCAAGGTTGAGGAACACTGCTGTAGATGATACCCATATAACATGTAAACGGATAGGTAATGTAAGTGGATGGGCTGTACATTGTACGGTATCTCATGAAACAAAGCACAGACTAATGGACACAGCTGCCTGGTAGCAAGCAGGCGATGTAGCTGGATGTCTTGAACAATTGCTTTGGTATTAGTGTTCAAAGACATTTCTGCACACAACAGCCTGCCTTGGTAGAGATTGATAATTGTTCTGTTTTCGGGAGTAGATACAACTTCTCTTTCGTCCACCTTTGTCTGAAATCTGAAAATCAAAATGTGAACATATTGCAAGCACACCTACGTCGATAGAATTTGTGTCTAAAGCAGCAACAAGGCAAAGCTCATTCTTATGTGGGTTGGATTGGTGACCTAAAATTCTGCCATCATTTTATAAAAATGGAATTGAGGTTGCTTTGGGATATACAAATCTCCCACCCAAGCTTTTTTCATGGCCTGAATATATTAGCAGATAAATTTACGGATCTTAAATGAAAATAAGTATTTTCATATATAACATTTTCTTAGGCCTTTATTTTTTAACAGATCCTTGGACAGCTGCTGGCACAGCAGGAAATAGGGGTATAAAATAAATTTGGAAATTAAAAAAAGAATTCCAGATATCAATGCCAAATATTGTTGCCAAGAATACTAAGCCATTCTGAGTCCAACCTGACTACCAAACAGGGAATGTACGGTAATAATAAATGAATGGCTTATTTCTGAATAGACATTTTTACATTCTTCTGTTGTACATAGTATGTTCAGGTGTGTGTCATATATGTGTTTCACTTTGAGAGCGGGCAACTAAATTTCATTTTTGATGTGTGCCGTTGTGCCCACAGTAAAAAAAAATGACAAAGGTTATCTATCTATCTTGTAAGAACCTGTGAACTCCTATAGTAGCTTTTCCCACCTCTATGCAGCTATAATGTTCAGCTTTACAAAGTATCCTGAATTTTATTTATTTTTGTTTTACAAATAATATGATTGATGGGCTTTCCATCAGTCAGATGCAGTGGGCATCTGAAATCCAGTTCCCTTTTGAAAATATGACCATTAAAAATACGGGAAGAAAAACCGGTTACGTCCATTTATTGTAACGTTAATATCTTTCTCACACACACAACATTTTAGAATATTTTATCAATTACAGATTATTATAAAACTTGTATCTGAATTAAATGTAATTTCAGTTCAGTTTCAGTACTAGTATATATTTGGATTATTAAATTCATGGAATTTTAAAATTGAAAAAAAAGTATGCACAGATTACAACTAGTCAGATTATTACTGCATTACCAGTTACATTGGTTAGATGATAGTACTCTTTTATATATACTGTATTTCTGAAAAAAATCTTTCGATACAAAAAGGACTCCCATAGTTTTAAAACTACATGAAGCACACAAAGCAAAATCAACAGCAGTAACACCTTACAGTTGGAGACCTGGACAGCAAGTATAATAAGATGACCTCTAATCCATTCTTTTAGTCCATGGAAGGTACGGTAACTGAAAATATGAAGAAGAATATTGTGCTATAGGGCTGGAGAGAATCAAATGCTGTCTACTAACAGATTTGGATAAGCTAAACCAAATAATTGATAAAACTATGCTTGATTCCCATAAATATGAGCAGGAACTACAGTCCCAAAAAGAGAAATTGTGGGAAAAGAATATATTTAACCTTGAGAGTTGGTGAATATGATTACACTCTTCAAGTACCTGACAGAATGCCACAAAAGAAGGGCAATATAAGTTTTACTCTGTTGCCTTTTGGTGTATGACATGGTACAGATTTTGTCAGGGAAAACTTTCTAATGATAACACTTTGACAGTGAAGGCAATTACGGAGAATGATTATAAGCTTCCCGTTGCTGGATGTATTCAAAGAGAGGGTAGGCAACCATCTTTCAGGATCTTGCAAATTGAATTTTTGTATAGAACAAAGAGCTGGGCTTTAGCAGTTTAAATGGCCTTTTCTAACTCTGAATCTTCTTGGACTTCTTGCAAGCAAAAGGAGTGAGGATGACTGGAACTGTTTCTTGGAGACAGTGAATACAGATGATACTAGCCCAATTATCTGTTTCAGCATTAGATAGGTTTTTCACATTATTCCATGCTTTTCTTATCAATAAAGGAGAATATTTGGAGCTCAGGGTTGAAATAAGGGGTCCTTGGTGCTCTTTGAGCTTGGTTGTTTTCTTGCAGATACTCATTACCTAAAAATCCTGATGATGTTAGCACTGATGATATTACTTAGTTTGGGTAATAAAATGTCTGAAAGAAAACAACCAAACTCGGAGAGCACCAAGGACCCCTCATTTATTCTTACATCAATTAATTCATCCTTAACACATATTGATAAATAAATAGTTTTATTGTTCTCCTATTTTGAAAATGAACTACACATTTCCTTTGCTTTTTCCTTACTGGATATATGTTTAACCTATTCTGGCAAAATGTAAGAGTTATTTCTTCCCAAGTGGTGTTATAAAACCTGAGAAATGTGTGTTCTAATGTAGGTGACTACAAGCAAATGAAATTGGTTGGAGATAAAGTTGCATTTATCTGATACGACTAATCCTGGGTTATATTGTGCCTTTTGTGCTTAGTATATATAAAGAGATAATGTGGAATATCCAGCTAGACTGGAGGGAGAGATCAAGAGGGGAGATTCTTGTAACATAGCTCACTAGCAATAAATTACTGTTGAAACTCTTCACCAGAGGTTCTGCTTGCTTTCACCTGACTGATAAGATGTTCTTGCCTTTTTTGCCTAAATTGGCAGATAGAGATGAGAGTTAAGTAATGCATTGTTCAGTAAATATAAAAACTAAATTGATTCTGCTGAGTGTGGGATGGTTTTCACAGATACCAATGAAAATGTTAAGAAATTCTGTATAATAGATTATGTCATGGTTCTGACAGATGAAACTCTTCAAAAGAACTTCGAGGCATTGTTTACCTTAAAGTATCTTTTATTCGAGAAACAAAGTATCGGCACTACATAGTTGAAACCAAAAACTAAATTCCCCTCCCTGGATACAAAGTAACAAAGTACAATTCCCTCCTCCAATAAACAGTCATAAATCACATTCCCCAATTAGCTTGAAGGCCAAAACACTATCAGCTCTGGGCCCAATGTCCTTGGGTTCCCTAGAATCTCATCCCTATTCCCCCTCCCAGCATCAACTAATTCTAAAAGCAATAGAGAAAATGGCTGCATTTCCATCTGTTGTCAAAGCAAGAACATCTGATTATTAGATTCTTATTTATGAACACGTCCTGGCAATGAGTTGCTAAGGTTAGATTACCAGCAATGCAAGCAGGAAATCTCAGAAAAACCTATTTAATTTTCCTGTCTTCTCTCTTCATCCTACCCCACCCCACCAGTTTCCGTTACATTTATTGGTAGAGCTGGAAAAATGTTGTGAGTGGAGACTAAACCTTACATGATAGCATTGCTTGCATTTTAATAAAGACAATATTTTTTTGTTTGTGAAGAAAAAAAGAAGCATAGCCATCAAGTCTCAAAGGTGCTTTTTCAAAAAAGGCAACTGGACTGTTTTTTCCTTGAGGAAAAAGAAGACATTTCGCTTCTCACCCAAGAAGCTTCATCAGTTATGATGGTGGGGGGATGGAGGGATAACTACTGACAGGATGAGAGAAGATGGAAAGATTATATTTATTTGCAGTCATCTGGTCATTAGCACTGTCTCTCAGAGCCATTGAGGTCATTTGGGGATGGAGATAGATAGATAGATAGATAGATAGATAGATAGATAGATAGATAGATAGATAGATAGATAGATAGATAGATAGATAGATAGATAGATAGATAGATAGATAGATAATGACCAGATGACTGCAAACAAGTACAATCCTTCCATTCCCCCTCCCTTCCCATCCTGTCAGAACCTATCCTTCCATCCCTCCCACCATCACAACTGATGAAAGTTCTTGGATGAGAAGTGAAATGTCTTTCTCCTCAAGGAAAAAAGACTCCAGTTGCCTTTTTTGAAAAAGCACCTTTGAGACAACTGTGACTGGATGACTGAGAATCTCCATAGACACATAACTATCAAGTTTCTCTATGGGGCTTCTCTTCAATTTACCACCACATAGTGCAATAAATGGTGGAACAATGTATAAACCTTTCTTTCTTTTATGCCTTGTAGATACCGAGGCAAGGAAAATATTATTCACGACAGCCCTCCAATGGACATCTTGTTGAAACTTCCCATGAATGTTGTTG